TCGCGAATACAGGCTCGCCTCCATGCAATCTGTCTCACAAGCACGTCGTGGTATGCTTTCCGCCGTACCCCGCTCTACCGCCACATCTACATCAACGATTCCTCGCAAATTCCCCTCCTCATAGCTACTCTCACCTCACACCCTACCCTTGCCGCGCACGTCCTTTCCGCCACTTTCGAATCGCCCGACCCATCTTTCCAATGGGACGAATCACCCCTCTCACTCCCGCCGTTGCCGCACACCTTGCCTCTCTCTGGGAAGTCACGTTCACCTCTCGCCAGCTCGTCACACTTCAAGATGGAGATTGGACGTTTCCGCGCTCGTTCGCCGCGTGCAGGGCGCTACGCTCGCTGACCATCGACGGTTTTTGCCTCGTCTCCGTCCCTACGGGCTACGACGGCCTGATCGGACCGTCTGGAGCATACCGCAGCTCACGCACCTCTACATCGACCGGTGCACAAGCGATCTGTATGCCAAATGCGGGCTGAACAAGGCGGATTACCCGAACGCATGTCGCGACCTGGTGCACTTGCAGGTGAGTACATGGTTCAACTGAGAGACTATTGGAATGTAGCTCACCTCCGTTCCAGGTCGGAGCGATCCGCGGGTTTCATGCCTTTCTAATGGCATGTTCGGTGGACCCTGATTCCTTGAAGTCGTGTGCGCTCAACTTGAGGGCCAGGATTACGCCGAGTCCTTCATTCGAGGTATGCATGCCCATAGTCAAACTGTGCACAGCACACTCACGTTGATCACACTTAGCGTCAGTGTCTTCCTTGCCACGCGAATTACATAGCTTTGCCGTTTATCCAGAAAGCATCGATGTGCAAGGGGACTTCGAGTTCCTCTGCGAAGTGCTTCCTTCTATCGCCTCCAATCTTCTTCAGGAGATCATCATCGGCCTACCAATCCTCGACTTCCCCGAAGTTCTGTCGCTCACATCGATCAAGTATGCCGCGAGAAAGCTGGATGATTGCCTCTCCACAGAAAAGTTTGCGACCCTCACACACGTGCAGCTCGTCAACAAGGCGTCCCATATGTACCTGTTCTCCCTCAAGCAAATAGAACGGTTGCTGCCAGAGGTGTTCAAGCGGGGCATCGTATCTCTCGTCGAGGATACGGAATGGCGTATGGGCCGCACACCGCGTCTAGGACGCTTGGGAGCCAGCAGACGGCGACTATATCACTAAATGGTATGTATCACACTCCGAACCGTTGATCACGCTCATTCATATGCTCTACGGCAACGACTTTCGTTTTCTCGCACCCTCCGGAATTTGGGCTTGATGAAGGTGGGATAAAACTAACGTCATCGCAGTCATGCATTTTCAAGTATGCGAAGCCGTCGTCGTGTTCCTTGGCCCGTTATCCACGTGCTTGCTTTTGAAGGGGATATAGGCAGGTGTTCAGCGATTCAGTTGACGATAATTTCTTTCCTCGCTTTGCTGGCTTCGTCACGTACTTTTGATGCATATGAATTCGTTGGTCGCTTTGGCGATGCTAGGCGGAGTGACGAAGCAAGGAAGTTTGAGTGATTCTTTGGTTTTGAATGAGGTAGCCTGAGAAGGTGAGGTTGAGATGGCAGCGCGGCACGGCCGCTCCGTTAACTCCTACGTAGATGCCGCCAGACAACGCGCTCGGCGTCGAAGTGCACAGACGGCTGACAGGGTGGCTCATGGACGAAATTGAACGGCTTCGAGGTGCTTCCTAAGGGTATGACTGACAGACTGGGATTCCGGGCAAAACGGATGTTGTGTACCCGCCTGTATATATTGCCTGCTATGCTACATAACACTCGTATTGAAGTCACAGTTCATTTCTACACCCGTGCCGTGGAGGGGAAAGGACAAGGACGGCGCTTGGATGTGCTTGTGCTCAGTCGATGTCGTAGGTCATGCCATGAAACTCGGCGGACGGATACCTTTCCAGGATCTGTTTGATAACCCACCACATCGGCGTACCGAAGGTGGCATGGTTGTGGACACCCCTCGGCATTCCTGAACACAACAGAGCGAGGGCGTCGCCGTCGCCCGTGAAGATGAGGGAGCCCGAGTCGCCGGGGGCCGCAAAGTCAAGGCCGCTGTTGTAGACGGGCACTGCCCGGGACTCGAGTCCGAGTGCGGTGCAGAGGTAGGCCTCCATTCCGGAGTAGCTGCCCAAGGTCAACTTCGTCGCGTTGCCGTACTTGCCGACGATGGAGCCGCCTGCATATTTGTTGCCGGGATTGATGGCGAGGTGGCGAGGAAGAACGCGCCGGATGGGGAGCTGGAGGTCGTCTGGGATTCTCCAGCGCATGCGACGCCCAAGCATGGTGCTATCGTATTGGTTTCCTGAAGAGCTGGATGTTAGTAAGCCAGAGGGGAATGAAGGGGGCAACAGGCCGAACACACCCAGGTCGACAATGTTAGACTCGAAATTTTTAACCTTCTCCCTATCGACCACGAACGTGGCGATGTCGCGAGTGTAGTGGGGGTAGTCGACACTGACGGAGACTTTGGGAGCCCAGTCGACGATACCTAACTTACGCCCGTCGGTATCTCGCCAGTCGGCGTTGACTTCTTCCAAGAAGGTCTGAAGAGCGGCGATGTCCTCGATCTTGTGCTCTAAGGCGTACATTATGCGTCTCAGGATCATGTCGTTCTCCTTTGAAGTGCCCAACTTCGACTGCTGGTCCTTGACTTGTCGGACAAGACGAACGAGTTCGCGGAGCCCCATGAGGAGGGCGTTCTCGATCGCAGTGATGGCCTCGTCGAGATGGCGATCACTGCATACGAGAATGTGCTGAGGGTTGGTCCCATCGAACTCGTAGTCGGAGTGCATGTCGACGGAGGCGACGTGCTTGTTGGTGAGGGCGAGGATCCTGTCGCTCGGGTCGCCGCTGCTCGTCTTCATCTCCTTGAACAGGAGCGTAAGGGTGCCTTGCGCGTCGTCGGACTGCCTCGCGATGGGGATGCCTAGGCCAGTGTTAAAGGGGTGGTTGAGGCCGAATATGGGGCTCGTTTCGTGCTCGACGCTCATCAGACTTGGGGGCGGCTTGACGAGATCGACGACCTCCCCGTCGTACCACTCGACGACGACATTGGTGATCTGGACGTCAGCGAGGATGCGGAGGATATCCGGTGTGGCATCCCGAACGGCCCTGGAGTTGGTGGTTTCGGGCTGTACAGCGATCCAAAGGACAATCGGGCCAAACGTTTTGTGCATGTCGTCCCCGACGGTCGAGAAGCGAGCCGTCTTTACGGCGGAGTACTTGAGGCCGCGGGCCTTCATCGACGCTATAATCCGAGGGGCGACATCGTGCCACACGTGGTTGAGCGGCGTGTTGAAGACGCCATGGGCAGTCTTGGCGGGGATCGTAAAGAAGTTGGACCCAGGCTGGGGAAGGGGGAAGGGGTTTGTCTCAAGATCGGAACGCCACATGAGCTTGGGAGGGTCGCCGGAGATGCCGTGGTACCAAAACCTCATCTCATACTGGGAGATCAGGTCGGGGGCGACGACGGTGCGGGCGACCGAGTCATCGCCGAGGATGGGGCGGAGGGTCTGGGCCTCGCTGGGGATGGAAGAGGTGGGAGAGACAGGGGAGACGGGGGAGACGGGCAGATGAGTAGCGTCTTGTGGGGGAACCTTGACCGGGTACTTGCGCTTGAACAAGTCGACCATGAAGCAGGTCACGGCTGAAAACAGAAGAAGGCGTGAGTATGTGGGAAATGGAATGTGCAAAGAAGGAATCAGAGACACTTACTGCCCAGGTGATCAGGGTTAGCCTTCACCTGGTCAACAATACGTTTGACGCTTGGAGCAACATCTACAAGGTGAAGGGGTAATAATGAGTGAGAAATGGACGTGTGCAATATTGACACAGGGGCCCACCTTCGCCCAGGAATCCGAGGGTGATGAGTTCGGTGTCGCTCAAGTCGACGATCTCTGCGGGAAAAGCTGAGCACTGCTCGCAAACGAAGGTAAACAACGGGCGCCACTCACTCTTGTGCTGATAAGATGGATCCATGGCGGAAGTGGTGTGAACGGGAATGGGAAAACGCGAAGAGGGAATTGTCCTTACGTGCACCACCCCGGGCAGGGGCCCGCGCGAGCCGTATTGGACGACGGCTTGGTCGAGGGGCCGGTAGGGGCTGCGCCCACGGAGCTGGCCAGGGGATCGCCCGCAGATTCGCCAGATGGGTTGCCGACGGACCAGGGGACCACCTTCGCGCATAGATTCCAAGACGCCGATGATGAGTTACGGGGATGAAACATGCTGCCAGCGAGGAAGCGAGGTGGCCGACGTGTGGGCCATTGCCATGCTCGAGTACGGAATAGGGGAGAGGTGCGCACCTCATTGCAGCGACGGCCCTTCCGCCGCTGGCAGTGCGGCCTTCCCCGCGGACAGCGACTCCCGTAGGGCCGTATCTCCTCAGGCTTGATTGTCTCATCCCCCAATTCCTATGCCGCTTCCTCCAGTCGGCCCTTTTCCCTCGCAAAGCCGTCCATCTGCGCTGTCAGATCCTTCGCCACCCTCTCCGTCAAAGCGTCCCCTACAAGTGTGGTTGACTCGTTGTCTAGCACCGACGTCGCATGCACGCCTTGGTTGTCGCTCCTTTCGTGTCGGTCGCACACTTGAAGAGCCCACTGATCATAAACTCGCGGCTCGGGGCTTGGCCCTCGGGGATGACGCCGTGTTGCTCGAGGAAGTTCCGGGCCTGGTCTGGGACTGGAGCCGTCAAATGTTCGTCGGTTGCCGCCTCCCTCGGTGGGGTTCGCGGGGACACTGCTAGACACTGAGACTGCTCCGCGCAACTGGGTCATTCGTGATGGTGGGCGTATAAGATAGAGCGTGGGAAGTTGTCGTCAGTGATGGTAAGAAGCTAGTACAGGCCTGTATAGGCTTGCTAGTACAACGGTGACAGCGCCGACATTTCGACAGAAATCCTGCCTCTTCGTTCACAGCGGCATTGGTTTTGCTGGGGCCTCAAATCAGGGCTTCTTGATACAAACGAAACCCCAGTACAGCACACAACCGCGACTCCCGCATTCGCCACCCTAACGTTCCGCCACACGACCTCGTCCCTACGACAATACGGCGCGATGCCTCGCAAACGCGACCCCCAGACTGCCCACCGCGGACACGAGCGCGCACGCACCGACGAAGAGCTCGACGGCCCCATACCCGAACCGCCCGAACCCGTGCGCCATCGACCCGCCGTCGCCCGCCTCGAGCAGCAGCCCCGCGACGATGGGCCCGATGACGGCGGAGGTGCCCTTGAAGAAGGAGATGCCCGAGAACGCGAGCCCGTTGTGCTCCGGCTTGCTCCGCGTGCAGTCCGCGGCGGCGTGCGCCCAGGAGGAGGACGCGCCGCCGCTCTGCCGGTGCCGCGCGCGAGATCAGCTTCGGGGAGTACAGGAAAAAAAACGCGCGCGCGAGCTCACCAGGGCCCCGAAGACGATCGCGAAGAAGTAGAGGTACGTGGCGGAACGCGCGAAGCCCCAGAGGAAGAACGCGCCGAGGCCGCTGCCGAACGTGCTGAGCGCCATCACGAACGGGTACGGGACCCGGTCTGTGAGGTGGCCGAGGGTGACCTGGCCGACGACGGCAGAGCAGTTGAAGAGCGAGAGGACGATCGTCGCGGTGAGCTGGCTGGCGAACTTGCGGGTGAAGGTGGCGATGTAAAGGGAGACGGGGAAGTAGGAGACACCTTGCATGAGCGTTGCGAACACCTGCGGGGTACGTCTGAGGTAGGCTAACGCAAACACGGAGGAGGACAGAACGCACAAATGTCCAGAAGACGGGCTTTTTGAGGAATTCCACCTGCTGAGGAACGAACTTTGGCCGACGCTGTCCCGGTGCGAATTTCGGGATCGGGAAACGGCTGCGCATGCCCAGGAGTGCGATGCCCGAGCATGCGGAGGTCCCGATCGCCCAGACTCTAAGCGCCCACTGCAGACCGACCTTCTCCAGCAAGGCGTTCAGGGCGAATGGGAACACAAATCCTGCACCGGGACTCAGTATTCCTTCCTCTTAGGGAGTATGATCGAGCCGTACCTCCAAGACCGCAACCGGAGAAGATGATGCCTGCAGCAAGCCCTCGGCGTTCCGAGAACCATTCGGGAAGCAGCTTGATGACGGGGATATACAGCAGTCCCCCGCTCACACCTACGCCGATGCCTTGAAGAATGATGAGCTGCCAGATCTGGA